TAGAACAAAAGAGTGAGCCATGTCGGTAACGCACTTGCCTTCTGTATAGTGCAAACCATTATTTTAAACACTTCTATGCATTGGCACTTAACTCTAAACTTGGTCACTTTTATGCAGAACTAAGTTTGTCGAATTGGTAAGAAAAGAGTCGGCAGTCGATATTTTACGGAGTACTTAGTAAGCGACCTGATGAGTAAAAAAATAATTCAAGACTAGAATTGAGAAAAAGCATTTAGCGCAACCATAATAGGTATGTACGATGGATCAAGATCATTGAGTTTTATTGCCCTATTGTAAAAGAAAGGAAAAGCCGTTCCAAGTTCCAATTTCGACACATCCGTAGAACAAAGGTCTATGTGCAAGGCTACTTATTCTCGGGACATAGTACATTTCGTTCGTTCTTCTTCGCTGTTGTTCAATTTTATAATTTCCGGAACGAAACAAGATATATAAATTCTCAAAACACCTGTACGTAGGCCTTAGTTTGAACAATGAAATTATTCTGTAACGTACTTATTCTCTTTTCGCTATATAATAACATCGGACTCTGTTCTTCGGATGAGTCGATTTGTTCAACTATACATAGAAGGTTTTTAAGTTATAACTCCTCTCTTTTTATATCGGAGTTTAAAAATGGAACATATAATTGAAATCAATTTTAATATCGCAAATGCATTGCCAATTGTGGGACGCAGGATCCGTATATTTCTGTGATTGCGCCAGATCTTCTTATAGTTAAGCACACCAATGTTGCTTAGAAACAGCGAGCGCGACAATACTTCTCTGGAGAGGATATCTTTAAGGGATATTTGCACGAGCAGTACCAGGTACTACACGATCAAATATCCCTAGCACTTAGTATCTATAAATGTAACTAACGAAATTGGGAAAATAATATAAATTCGAAGGCTCATATTTTATGTTCTACGTTTGGAATTATAAAATAAAAAAAATGAGAAAAGCGAAATTTAAAATGATTTCACAACAGGGTAAAAAAAGTTTTTAATGGCTCCATCGTTTTCGTTCAGTAACTTCAACTTGTGACAGGAGTCAACGTCAAATGTGGAAACAACGGAAAAATATCCAGAATAAGATTTTTATTATATTATTATCATTGACTTACAATTATATCGACGTCGGGTCCGCGCTAAAAAGTGTCCGCACTTGTAAGGCGCTAAAATCGTATACAGAGCGCGACACTCCGCTTTAGTCTTCATTTGTTCGACTGACAGCGCGATACTGCGATGACATTACAATTTAAATTTCGAATAGGTTGACTTGGGACATTTTTTTCGTGGTTTTTATATTAGACCCGTCGTCCATTTATTTGTAAGTCAATGATTATTATACATATTTTTCAAAATGGAATTTTGCCAGGACCCAACACTAGGCACGAGTCTCCTCCTGGTATACGATTATATGACATATCGCACCCTTATTCTAATAAGGCCACAACTACAAAATGACAGTTTTCAGACTTGGAGAGAGATTTAAAGATTGTGACGACGACGATTCTGAGATCAAATTAGTGAATATTTTTTTGCTTTTATCACATGAAAATTATGTATATAACATATCATATGCGAGGACCACTTCAATCCGTACCCATGATTGTAATAAAGCCATATATATCTATAAAATGACATTTTTCGTGGTGAGATTTAAAGATCTCTTTACTTAAATAGGAGACAAAGATCGAACACACAGAAAAACTTTCGTCGGCCCGGTTTGACTTGAACCAACTAACTAACCTAACCATCTAAGCCACTGGTCCAGTTACAGTTATAAATCTTTGTGATGACTGTCGGCATTCTTTGCCACTAGTGACATCTAGTAAGAGGTTTTTGAATAACCTTCTCACCGCAGCCGATACCTTTAGAGGTATCACAATTGACACAAATGTGTGTGACTGAGTGTCGAGCAGTCAACAGCCCCTGAGGATGCCTCGTGGAAAGGCGAAACACGTGTCGGGTATATTTTTGGTGGTGGTTTGTGACTGTAGTTGCGCTTGTGTTATTTATTTTATAAATTTTATGCGGAGAGAGGGTGGTATAACTAACTGCATGAAAAAATAATTCAACAAAAGCGCAGCTATTTTGCACGATTTAACCTTTACTGGGTTCGCGGAGAAGCAAATTAAATTACTTCCATTTTTATAAAATTTTACATAATAAATAATAAAACACTTTATGTAGTTTTTTTATTATTTTTGTAACACACGGCTTTATTAAACCTAGGGTAAGATATACTATTCTCAAATAAGAATTTTCTATTTTCCAAATTCTTAATCGATTGCGTTCATAAGTTCGTTTTCCTAGTAAATTGTTTATAGGTTCCAACAGATATCTAAGGGTACTGTTAAATTTTCTTGCAATTGTTATACAAATTGCAGACTTAATAGAATAACGACCCCCTCGTTCGCGTTATAATCGCCAGATCGATTTGAACTATGCACTTATTCTATTAACTGGCTGGCTCATTTGACCTAGTAGGTACATTGTCCTGTGTCAGAGCTCTACTTGTACAAAATACTGGTCTCAGAGTATACCTAAGATATCTTAACTATTTCTAAACCTCGAAACTGCTGTGTTAGAAGGTAAGTTTATATGTATAACTAGTGATAATTTAAGATTCGATTTTCGGGCTGCACCACAAACTCATTTAGTGCAGTTTAGTAAAATTTAAGAAAAACCTGACAAAACTTACGAAATCAAAGTATTTTTCGGATCTAAATGGCGTATATGTTTGTTCAAACAGTCCCATGCCCACGGCTGACTGAGATGATACAGTTATCAGCCCGTTGTGTCTAATATTAATGCAAACCACCCCATTTTTCACTACACTAATTAAATTAACTAATTAAATACCTTATTTTCAAATTTTTCAAGATCGCAATTTACGCTACAACGTAATACAAAAAAATTTACAATATGAAATTTAATTTATTATTAATTAATAATGGTAATTAGAATAAATTAAAACATACTCATTATTAGTACTGCAGTCTTATGTCTGGTTGGGGTTTTTCATCAGAGGAAATATTGGATCCTGAATGGTCGTACGGAGAAATTATCTTCCCTGTTGAAATTACGACGTATTTTTTTAATTTCAATGGCCTCTCACAGGATCTAGATCTGCCCTAGGTAGGTATCGCAAATTAAAAACAAATATACGTGATTTATATTCGTAGTTATCCGCTCACGCGATACATGCAGCCGTATACGCATACCACACCTAGAGGTGCCGGTGATGATTTTATACCGATTTATCGGATATGGAAGTTATAACAGGTAAAAGAACTAATATTAATTGCTATTTCGGTAACTACTCTAGCAAAACATAAAGTTTTTAATGCCTGTGTCTGTCATTTAAAAAAAATAAACAACTTCAAAAATACGTCACGACAATCGTGTGTGTTATTGTTTGGGCTGGTGATTTCGGTGTTTATTTATTGAAAACATACCGTAAGTAGCGTTTTTTAAGTTTACCCTGAATATAAATGTTTATAAACTATACTTTAAGGAGTAATTTCATGGTAAACGTTAGAACCACTCAAACGGAATATTATCATATTTATCCAAGTACACCAAAAATGTCATTAGTGCTTTTTAAGTGCAGGATTTGCGGTGTATTATTGTATTTTATTTGAGATGTTATTGTTGGTAGTACGGAGGGTATTTATTTAGCAATGCACAATAATAATTTTTATTTCTAAAAACTTGTATTTAAACTGAATTCTTTTCTAATTTGCGAAACCAAATAGCCGCCATTTTGCGGTAGGAGGAGCGCATCGCGTGTGCGGTTACATAAGTTATTGATTAAATACCTTATTATAATTTTCCAAATAACTTTTCAATATACGTCACATAATGTTAACAATATGATTTTTGTTTAATTAAATTAATTTTGTTATTGCTTGATAATAGAAATTAGAAATAAATTAAATTTAAATTAAATTATAATATAAATAATAAATATTAGACAACATCACAAACGTTGCTCTGATTCCAAAGTAAGTAGCAAGAGCACTTGTGTTATGAAAAATCGGAAACAATAACGGTACCACAAACACCCAGACAATATAGAAAAGTTAATTTTTCTACACTGACCCGGCCGGGGATCGATCCCAGGACCTCAGAAATGGAGACACCATGAAAACCGGTGTAAAGCTATTGACAAACGTAGTTATTAATTGCTACTGCAGTCATAATGTCCGCTTGGAATGTTTCATCAAAGGAAACACTGAATCCCAAACTGTTGGTACAGGGAAACTGTTCCCTGTTGAAATTATGATTTTTTTTTTATTTCAATGGCCTCTCGCAACGTGCTGGGTATGTAACAGACTTTTTTGAAAGGATTTATCGAACTTGATAAAATGTAGAAATTGATAAAACTAGCGAGAAATTTTATAGAACAGTCGCTAATTTGGCCTGCGCGATAAACTATAATATTAAAACTTACAAAGGACTACAATTAAAATCTCAGTCACTACATGAAGCTAGTAAATAATTTACACTATATAAGTACAATAATTTACAATGCGCAAAAAATGAGCAAATTTGCTGTAGTATGAAAAAAATGTATCGCAAGTGACGGTTGGAAATATAACAGTGGCACTTCACATGGTATGGCGTACACTCATAGGCCCGCATTAGGGAAACCCTATGTAGCGGGTGCCATGGACACACATATAGACAACCACAGTCTTAGAGTGACGGGCGCAGTGGCTGTGCTCCTCAGATCTTGTGATTTAAAGCCGTGAGTGGCACTGCAACTGTTATGGACAGGCGCGCTTACCACTATTACTTGTTCATCCCGTCACTTGGTATGATAAAAAAGTATCAAATTAGCAAAAGAAGTTTCAGGGAATTCAAAAAGACAGTTGTAAACTAGTTGCGTAGGGCGGAGGAAATTTGCAAAAGTTTCCCAACGATGCAACTAATTTTGAAAGAGAATTTATATAAGTACGTGAAAAGTGACGTGTAGAAAATAACACTCACAACACGTGCAATCCATACAGCATCACCCACAGCGACACTTGCATCAAAAATCACCGCAACACTACACTAAACACTGTCATCAACAACATTATTCATAAAAAATAACAAAAATCACTAAAAAAGAAAATTCGCGCGCGTACCCGAAAGCAGGTTTTTCTAAAAAAAAGCAACGTGCGCCTAACCGAACGGTTCCGTAGCTGTCAAAAACAAAATGGCGGCGAGGCGGGCGACCTCATGCTTTGGCGCAAATGCTAGGAATGGCAGCATTGCGTATCGCGCGCGCCAACAGGATGGGTACCAGTGCAACTGTCAAATGTAGAAAGAATTTATGAGCCTCGTCGACATTTTCCCCCACCGGAAGATGGGAACGGTGGGATGACATCGCGTTTGATATGTCACTGTTCAATTTGTAGATTGTACAAGCGATCGCCTTTTTTGCTATTTTTAGAGCTTGTTTCATAGTAACATTTGCAAAGAATACATCGAGTAGTAGATTCTTTAAAACATTGTACTTATTACAAAATAAAATTAGGGTTTCTTTTACGAGAGCTGTATACCCCTATAAGGGGACATTTGTAGTATAATAAAATAAAACTCCAGAACCGTGATTCCATAAAATCTCGACGAGTCAAAACAATTACTGGAAAAGATTTTGAATTGTGATCATTTTTCACATGAAAGCAGAGATGGGCAAGGGTTTTCACCCGGCGCTTTATTAACGCTTGGTTTAAATCGGATTCAAACCCATTAATGCCCGAAATCGAAGGCAAAAACTATTTACAAATAAATATTTGTTCTAAATCGAGTTTTGTGCAATTTCAATAATATTATTTCAAGATATTGATTTGCTTTTCTATTGAATCGATTAGCTTGAATATCGCATTGAAATCAATCGATATAAGAATCGATTTTCATAAAAGTCGATTCTTATGGTGTATCCAGTAGCGAGAATCCATAGTATCACAATACTATGGATTCTTGGATAGCGGGTATTGTGTGTTTTTCGTCTAAAAAAGATTATTTACTTCGAAAATTGTAGATAATGAGTTTAGAATTAGAGGTGTCCACATAGAAAATACATCGATGTAAAACATCGAAACCTCGCATCGATGTTTTTCGATGCATCGCTTAAAACATCGATGTTTTTTTAACAGTGAACGCAGAGTAACATTATAACAATAGAGTGGTGCTGTCGCTGCTGTAGTGACGTATTTAATTTGTGTTACTTTAGTAGTACTGGTAAAGAGAAAACAGGAACTGAATAAAAAATAGTATCGCACCGGTAAGACATACATTTAAAGGTGAAAAAAACCTGCAAATTAACAGAAATGTTTTTACGCAAGAATAATTAGGTATACACGGTAAAAACAGATTACTTAGAAAAAGACAAAATTATTTTTATGAAGACAAATTTATTAAATCGAACAAAACGATCCTCTCCCTATAGACGCTAGAGAATAATTACTTGATAATAGTAAAAAAACGTCTCAAAAGTGTATTTTTGTTACAAGACAGAAATATTTAATCCAAGAGCAAATTAATTTACTTCAAGTCACAAAGCCACTCTAGATTCAACTTAATATTTATTTGTTATTAGAAATGTCCGATTTTGATTTGAAAAAAAAAGAATGAAAAATTGAGAGGTATTTAATTATTTGACTGAAGATTTATGTTTTCTAATATCAAACAGGGCAAATTTATAGGGTAAAGACCCAACAGTATGTCTCACTGACGTGAAAGCACACCAGTTCAGTGCCAAACCATACTTGAGGACCATTCAGTGCCGTATTAATGCTACAACGGCAGAAAGCACTACTAATTTAAACTATATGAGATGATTTTATACTATTGAAGTTAACAAAACGATAGCGCGTTTCAGAGTACAACTAATGCCATCTAGCAGTGGCGTGATGGAACTAATTGCATGTTAAAGTTGTGCTTGTTACAAATGTCGTTTGATTTCATGCTGTAGCCAAATTTCTTAAAATATGACTATAAATAACACCCTAACAAACTAGAGATACTACGTATTGTTTTTTTGGATAAATGACTGTTTATGATTTTTATGATTACAAGCACAAGTAAAAGTAATCGTTACCGCGTGCGCCTTCAGCGACATGTCACGACAACATTGACTATGAAAACGCAACGAAATGTTGCTTTAAGAATATACTCTAGAATTTAGAATATTAATCTGAATAGAAAACTACTTCTATTTTGTTTAAGAATATATTTTCTTAAAATACACCCAAGAAATTTTGAATTCATTTAAGATTATTTAAATTTGATGTAAGAGGTAAAAATTTCTTGATATAAGTAATGTCCAATTAATTGATTACAAATGAAATAAAATCTTGAAGTGAACGTATTTGTCTCAAAGTTAGAATAAACTTATGAGTAAAATTATATTAGAAAAAGATAAGCAGTATCTTTGTAATGACAATATTTTATTACTTTTAACAAATATTTTTTCAGAATTAGCAAATATTTTGAGAAATTGCTCTTTCTTATTAGTAGAAATCCTTTTTTTCTGTGTACTTCTCAAATAGACAAATAAGTTCGATACATATTCAATTGTTCATTCACAGAAGAATGAAATAAGCTAGGATTATAAATACAATTAAAACAAATACTAAATGACTAAAACACAGAGGCACGCCAGAGTTAGTGTTTTCTATGATTCGATGTTGTTATTAAAAAAAAACCATGCCTCGATTAGAATTTCTTCTTGTCAAAACATCGAATCAATCCGATGTATCGTACGATAAACGTCGTACGTTCAACGAATATTCCTATTTGGAATTATACTAAGTTCCGTATTCACAATTTCTGCCCACGATTTTGGGCAGCAAAATCATAATATTATATATACCTGGCTGAAATATAAAATAATATAAAAGTAAGGAGACCGTACTTCCTTGAAGGAAGTAACCAAAAATTAATACATATTTGTATTATAGTATAAAATTAATACGTTATTAACTAGTCCATAAACTAGTGTAAAAGCACTTCCTAATATTTTTCGTTTATGTATTATGATTAGTTATCTACGTTCTCTATTTTATAAGTGTATATTTTAGTAAGGGCGGAATAAACCTACCCTATGTTAAAAACATCGTAACTGGATGTGATCTAGATAGATTACTAAACTTTGCGAACTTCTTGCGTCTTAACTTCACTTTGTTAAAAAATGTAAATAACAGTCAGGCCAAAAGCGGTACATCGGGAAAAGCGGCTCGGGGCCGGACCTGTGGACACAGCAGCCCCACGCGCAGGTCGCAGCGGGACAGTGGCGCGAAAGCGGTCGGTGTAACACTAATAGCAGTCACGTTTAATTTCTACACAGATCACCACATCGTTGAAAATTTCTGCTTTTATTAGCGTTAATGATATTGAAACTTAATAAAAACACAGTAAAGAGTAGTAAAAAATACAACATGCTATCCCGGTAAAGCATCCGGACCGCGCCCCGCCGTCGGCCTTGAACTTTTATTCAATTTGCGATCATTGTTTTTATAAAGGCTAACTAATACTTAAGTCAGACTGAAACAACCTTCGAATAGAAAAGCTAAGAGCTGTAATTTGGATTCACCTGACTACGCCTCGTAAGTACAATTACGTTGCTGAAGATTGTAAACATAATAAAAACGTATACGTTTACATACCTACATGAAAAACAGGGCGTTGATTCTCTTGTGCCGGGACATTTTCTCGATTTCGATATTATTGTACATATGAACAAAAATATCTCGTTCTTAATATTAGTAGCTGTAGAGCTCCTTGTAAAAAGATTCGTCCAGGGAATTATTGTCACTTTACCTATTTCTGCCGCCGAGCAGTAATGTGAGCATTACTGCGTTCCGGTTTTGAAGGGTGAGGGTGCTCGTGAAATTACAGGTACCCATGGGACTTGTCAACTTATAATACAGGGTGACGGATGCAATGGCCGTGCCCCTCAGATCTATGCTATTTAAAGCTTTATGCAACTGTTATGGACCGGCGTGTCACTTACGACCAGCTTCACGACTTGTTCGTCTCGGTACTTGGTATTATATTTAAAAAAAACTAAAAGAGTATTGTAACATTTTCGATATTTCTCTACCTGGGGCATATCTATTAGCGCTCGAGAATCAGAAAAGCCATGCGAATTGTAAACCATTTTCATTCACGTATAAGTTTATTTAGTACTCTCGTATTTATGAACTCTTGTAAGTTATTTTTTTAAGAGGGAGCAGAGGAAAAATTCCTAATCTTCGATTTGATTTTAGAGGCGTATATCCACTTTAAAGTTAAAAATAAAAAAATGTATGAGCAACTACACGATATATTCAAGCATAGACATTAATCAGAAACATAAAACAATAAAGTTTCCTCGATAGATAAAAATCACGAAATGACTGTTTAATTTTCACATTTTTTCGATTTATCCTCGAAATGCTACAGGTTATTAGGACAAAAATTAGATAATTAATTATATGTATGCATGATCGACAACTGTCACTACGGATTTTTTTAAATCCCTTTAGTTTTAGAGTTATATCGCTAAAACGAATTTGGTACTTTTAATGCGCAAAATTCAACATCTCCTGTCGCATGTCACGCGAACTTCAGGCATATATTTGTTTCACAAATTTGGGCGGAGCCAACGTCAAAACTTTTTTGGCATGCTCCCTCTTAAGTAGTAGTAGAGACAAGTGTTTTAAATTAAATTGGAAATATTTTCACTTGTAAATACAAACTTTTGTTGTACTACTCTTTATAATTTACATGAAATTTATTTGGCGTATACACATTCATCGATTTTTAACGAACTTGAAAAAAGGAGGAGGTTCTTTAGACTGTATTTTTTATACGTTACACGATTCCGTATATATTTGTCTGGTAACAGTCATTAGTACCCTTTGTCGTCCTGATTAGATTTGTTTGTTTTTGCTTGATGTGTGATTAGCATTCGTAACCAGTAAATAAATAGTTAGATTAAATTTTGTTTTTAAACTATGTTTGTTTTGTTGTAGTCTTTTTGTTCAAGAGTATGTTCCAATAATGTCCGACAGAGAACACAGGCGGAGACTGAAAAACAGCACTATGCTGAGGCTTCGTGGTTTGCATCACTCATAATTTATTAGCACATATTATCGTATGATTTTCTATGTATATGTGAGAGTGTTTGATGAATAAAGTCCTGTTTAATCAAGTTAATTTAATTTCATTACTCCCAAATTTGTGAACCAATTACGATGA